GGTTGGCAGGGACCTCTGTGGGTCACCCAGTCCAACTCCCTGCCGAAGCAGGGTCACCCAGAGCAGGCTGCACAGCACCGCATCCAGGCGGGGCTTGAATATCTCCAGAGAAGGAGACTCCACAGCCTCCCTGGGCAGCCTGTGCCAGGGCTCCGTCACCCTCAGAGGGAAGAAGTTCTTCCTCGTGTTCAGATGTTCATCTCTGGTACCTGCAGCAAAACCGCGGTAGAAGAAGCCGGAGCAGCCCGGTGCTGGGGCGGAGAGGTCTGCAGGCAGCTTGCCATCGCCCACCTCCCCCAGAAACGCTGTCAAACAGCTCTGTTGGGCAGCTGCCTGGTGGTTACGCGCAGCTAACGAAGCCGGAGGAGCCTGGAGCAAAACGCTCGGCGTGAAGCCTTCTGCCGAGCGAAAGGTCTGGTTTCCACTTCTTGCCCGTCCTGCAGCCCGAACCGAGAGGCCAAAGACCACGGGGATGAAATTCAAGCAAAAATCTGCGCCGGCGTGCCGTTTGCACGCAAAGAAAAAGAGTACCTGCCAGCAAGGTGTGTTACCTGGAGCCCTCCCTCTTCCCCCGGGGACTTTTGACCCCCTGTGCATCCCATGCTCTTCTCCCAGGCTGGCACAGCATCATCTGGGAGCTGTGAGGGGGGAAACTGAGGCAGGCTGGAGGCAGGGAGGGAGGGAGGGATGCAGATTTAGCCCGACCTCCTCTCTCCATCCCGGCTCTTCACGGCAAAGCTGTCCTTGCTCTTTCGGCACAGCCTGACGTGGAGATGCTCTTGGCCACGAGGCCAAAGGTACCACCTGATGGCACGCAGGGCTGGAGGCTCAGCCAGTGAAAACTCAGGAGGGGGAAAAAGCCTGGAGGTTAGATAGCCGGAGCTGCAGGCTTTTGGGCTCAGATGGAGCCGATCCCAGCCCATCACCGGCTGTCCTGGGCCGGGAGATGGAGGTGGGACCAACCGGCACCTGGGAGCCGTGCGCAGGGATGCTGGAGGAGAGCACTGCACACAGTCCTGGGACTGGGGGAGGAAACAGCCCGAATTCTTGGTTTGGAGGAGGCCTGGCAGGGCTTTTTGCACCCCGGAGGCCAGATCCTGCCCGCTCCGTGGACGGCAGCGACTCTGCAGCCCGCCCTGCTGGGCACG